GCCCGCCACAACGCCTGGCCATTTTTTGGTTGTAGCCGGCATTGTTGTTTGGCGGGTCCAGCCGGGGTTCAAACCCACCACTTTAGATGTATGTGGCTGGCACCTTAGCCACTTGAGCCACAGGTGCCGAGCCTGTTTTTAACTTTTTTTTAAAAAAAAAACTTTGTTTTTTGAGACAGAGTCTTACTATATCACCCTTGGTAGAGTGCCATGATGTCATAGCTCATAGCAACCTCCAACTCTTGGGTTTAAGCAATTCTCTTGCCTCAGCCTCCCAAGTAGCTGGGTCTATAGGTGCCCGCCATAACGCCCAGCTATTTTTCTTTCTTTTTGTTGTTGTAGTTGTCATTGTTGTTTAGCAGGCCCAAGCCAGGTTTGAACACGCCAGCCTGGGTGTATGTGGCTGGCACCCTAACCACTGACCTGTGTGAGCCAAGCCTGCAATTGTTTTTAAAGCTCTCCAGGTGAGTTCAATGTGTTGCTACAACGACGTAGACTAACAACCAGACACATTTCTATCAGGGAGGTGGCTCATCTCTCAACCTCATTGCTCCCCACTTCTACAATCCCACTCTGGGCTACTCTTGTCCCTCTCTGAGGCTTCTCTGAACCTTCAACTCGTTTTATTTTATGGCAATGTTGGGTCAGGCTCATTTTGGTATTTAAAGCAATTTCCCAGATTTAACCTGTAGACCCTTCAGTATCTGCCATGACCCTGCTACCTGAATGTCCTTTACCCAAGCCCCGCGATACTCACTGGCATTGATGAGAACAAGGGCTGTGTAGAGGGCGATCTCATCCTCAGAAAAGCGCAAGGCACTTAGAGAGTGGGAGAAATCAAAGATGGAGCTGATAAGCTCACTGCAGCCTGATGGAACAAAATGAAAAGAATGGATGAAAGGGTGAGACCATGGTAACTGAAGATGTGCCCCCTTGGCATCTGGAGCAGGGGGGCAATCTGCCCTGGATCATGAAGTTTTATGTGGGGTTGGCATCAGGATCCTCCCTCTCATTTCTCTGTGCTGCTCACCCAAGGCTCGGAACAGCTCCATGCCACCGTATTTGCCTTCGAAAAAGACTGTGTGGTTGTCGGCATTGTAGGCCCGGCACATCCTAACCAGCACCACTTCCATTGCTCCTGGGGAGTGGGAGAAAAGATGTAGGGACAGTGTTGAGTTGAAGTTAGAATCCATCCATCTCTGACCCCTTCAGTGTCCTGGCTAAGCCACCCCCTCCACTTGGCCCCACCCCATTCTATGCTCTCTCCCCCTACCCCTGGGGCCTGTTCACGTATCCCTGGGCACCTGCTTTGAGAAGTACGATCTGGTCATTCTGGCAGAGCTCCATAAAGCCTGACAGCCTCTTCGCGAACTCCACCACGTACTGAATGGCCTCGGTGAGGCGGTGGGCACAGCGTTCCCACATCTCCCACATTGACTGCAGGGAAGGAGGGGGTATCTCATTGCAGCCCTTCGTATGCCCCTGTGATCCTCCCAAGCCCCCAGGACCCTGCCTAAGAAACTGCAGGATAGGTTCTGAGCTCCCGCATTCTTAATACTGGTGTTTGTAAAAGGCTGTTCTTACACAAGTGCACTTAGATGTTAATTCCTATCAGTTGGCCCCACACACTGAACACCCACCAGCTTCTGGCACTGAATTAGCTGTTGTGGGGGAATGAAAGCTTTGCCCTCAAACAATTTGATCTTGAGGTGAAAAAGACTGCTGCCTCCCTTCCCCCTACAAATGACATGCCTAAGGTCTTAATAGCCTAGAAAAGCAAATGTGAAGTGTTTTTAGAGCAGGTGGTATTGCCAGATTATGCCAGAAGAGACAGCATAAACTTTGGGGCCAATGGATCTGAATTTGACTTTGGCTCCACCATACTGGGACCTTGAGGAAGTCTATTATCCCTCTGAGGTCAGTTTCCCAGTCCATTAAAAATAGGAATAAGCCTGGGCGTGGTGGCTCATGCCTGTAATACCTAGCACTTGGGGAAGCCAAGGTGGGTGGATTGCTTGAGCTCAGGAGCTTGAGACCAGCCTGAGTAAGAGCAAGACCCTTGTCTCTGCTAAAAGTAGAAAAACTAGCTGAGCATTGTGGTGGGCACCTCTAGTCCCAGCTACTTGGGAGGCTGAGGCAGGAGGATTGTTTGAGCCCAAGAGTTTGAGTTTGCTGTGAGCTATGATGACACCATGGCACTCTACCCAGGACAAAAGAGTGAGACTCTGTCTCAGAAAAGAAAAGAAAAGAAAAGAAAAAGAAAAGTAGGAATAAAAGCCTGGGGTGGTGACTCATGCCTGTAATCCCAGAATTCTGGGAGGCTGAGGCAGAAGGATCCCTTGAGGCCAAGAGTTTGAGGTTGCTGTGACCTATGATGACACCACATCACTCTAGCCTGGGCAACAGAGTGACACTCTGTCTCAAAAACAAACAAAACAAAACAAAAAAGGAATAAATGCCACTCATAGGTTGGTAGTTGTAAGGGTTGAAGTTAATTTACATAAAGCATTTAGTACCATGCCTGGCAGAGAAGGGGTGTTTAACAAATAGGCATCAGGGTTCTGATTATTGTTACTATTGATGGGGAGGAGGAAGGAAAGTACATCAAGTCTAGGTGGTGGTGGAGGTGGTGGGATAAAGGCTGGGTAAAATTTCAATAGTCAAGGACTAAGGAAAAGTACTCCTCTGCCGACTAGGGTGTGGGTGCACACACACACACACTCACAACCATACTTAACAGTGGTTCACATGCCTGTTGGTCAGCCTGTCCTGGTCATGCCCTGTGTGCCCAGCCCTTGTGTGTGTGCAGGTAGCCATCTCTCCTGGTGGTGAGGGGATGTTCTCACCACGGTCCCCTGGCCTCACCTTCCTCTGGTAGCCAGTCACCTCCTCCCGAGAGAAGACATTGGACCGCTGCCGTAGCAGGTCCTCCAGCCGCAACTGACACGTTTCTCGGTAGGACTTACAGACGTTCTGCACCAGGTGCTCTGGGGCCGGAGAAGGCAAGGCACAGGTGACCCCTGGCTGGCTCCTGCTCTCACCCACATGTGGACATGCCTCTGCCCACTTGCCCTGCCTCTTCCCTTCCACTCTTGTCCAGGACCCATCTGCTCCCCCGGATCATGTTTGATTGACATGGGGTGCTGGCAGGAGCCTCTCCCTTGTCCTCACCACCCCCTGTGCCTCCCCCAGCTGCTCACCTATCTCCATCAAGGAGGCATAAGGTGCCCCTGGTGTGCTGCAGAATCGGGGGCTGCAGTAGCTGTCTGGGCCCTGTCCTGGCTCCCCAAGCCCAGGATGCCTGGATTCCTCCAAGTGAAGTCCACATCTGTCAAGGGTCAGCTGGCTGCCTGTACTATAAAGGCTGCCCCTGCCCTCAGCCTTGTCCCGCTCGAGGCTGTATTCAAGGAGATATGAGGGCCCATTGAGCCCTGCTTTGGCTGAGTTGTTGGCATAAGAGGACCCAGAGCCTGAGGCTCTCAGGAGGCCAGGGGGACAGGCAGAGGCCTCAGGCAGGTCAGGTGAGGAGCCCAGGGGCAGCTGCCCATCTGGGAGCCCTAGGGTGCAGGTGAGGGTGTCCATGCCTTGGCCCCCCACAGGAGGGGTCTTGGCTGCCTGCTCCTGCTGCTGCTGCAGTTGTTTCTGCACCTCTGCGTGCAGGCTGTCCCTCTGCTTCTTGGACATGCGGCCAAACTTGACAGCTGAAAGAGATGCAGGGGTGAGAGTTTATGAGGCAAGTGAACATGGTCGGGGCAGGGGCCACAGGCATTTGCGTTATTACAGTACTAACTCGCTGCTCCCTGAATAGTTGGCTCCGAGTACAGCTTCTCCAGCTTGTAGGGAACTTAGGTTCTGGGTTCCCTCCACCTCTCACTCTCGTTTGCTTTAGGGATCTGTCCAGCAAGCTGCTTCCATCTCCTGAGTAAAATCGTCTAAGTTCTAAAGCAGCTCCTAACAGTGACAGAATCCAAGGACTGTGTCTGGGCTGGGGATCCTGGCCTCCTGATGCTGGGGCTGGGGTGGTCGAGCAGAGGGCCTCAGCTGTATTGGGGTCACCCTGCCTGTCGGGGGTGGGCAGAGGAAGAGAAGGGCTGAGAACACAGGTCTCCCTGTGGTCAGGTCTACAGGCTCCCTGGTGACCTAGATACTCACCACAGCCCAACCCGGGCTCCGCAGCTTGTCTCTGAACATCCTCTTCTGCTCTCTCTTTCCTGCCCTTTCAGTCCCCCCACCCCTCCCAAGTGTGGGGGCACAGCCCCTTGCCCCGCCTGCCCCTCAGCACCCCTGCATGCTTCCTTTTGCTTTGTTATTTTTGGGCACTGGAAAGTGCTGACAGGCTCCTTCTGGCTCCTCAACACCTTATGCCTCCCTGAACCCTGTCCTGGCTCCTTTTGTGGTGGGGGGTGGGGGGACAGTGAGGAGGTGGTGGATGAGGAAGGTGGATAAGGGCCCGGGAACCCCGGCTGCCTCCACCCCATGCCTTCTGGTGGTTCAAAGGGTTCCACTGCTAGCCATGGCCCCATGTCCCAGGATGGGAATGGGGGTCTGGGATGGGGGTTGGAATGAGACTGGAGTCATTGGGCAGGAAAGGAAGTTGTGGTAACTGGTGGAGCTGGGCAGAGGGCAGCAGAGTGGGAAGGTGTCCCAAGGAAGAACTGCCAAAGAGGTCTGGACCTTGGTAAAAGGAGGTGTGTTCTTACAAAGCCTAAGGGAAATTTGGAAGAGCTATGATGGGGATGATCATCAAAGGGGTAGAAGAGATGGGTGGTCAGGAGAAGGGAGGAATAGAGAGCAGACCTCTGGAAGGGTTAACCTGTCTAGCCTGGCTGCCCCTCTAACAGACTCCAGGAAAACCCCAAGGAGCTGCCTGCTTGGCCTCACCATCTCGGGACATGCCCAGGGCCAGGCATTTTTGCAGGCGGCAGTGCTGGCACCGGTTGCGGCTAGTGCGGTCGATGGGGCAGTTCTGCTGGCGGGTACAGGAGTAGGCCGCGTTGCAGTGCTGGCTTCGGCGGAAGAAACCCTGGGGAAGGCAGGTGGAGACCAAGGCTGCTTGTCCTGACCAGGTCCAGCTTGTCCCTGAGGCCCTCCAACCCTCGCCCCTGAGGCCCTCCAACCCTCACCCCCGGCCTCCATCTCCTACCCCAGTTTTTCCACATTCTGAGATCTAACGGTTTTCTCTTCTCCCTCTCTTTGTGTAATTGCAAATTGTCCTGGTCCTTCTGCAGTCACTTTCTTAGCTTAAGACAAGGCCCTTCCTATGTTCAGGGCCCTCCAGGGAGGCACTGACCAGGCACTTCCCCAGCTGTCGGAAGAGACCTCCCTAGAGTCAGAACAAAGGTCTTCAGCCCCTTCTCCATTTCTAATGAGACTCTGTGAGTGCATGTGTGTGCATATGCACGCGCACACACAAACATACATATGCCTGCAACTCACCTTGCACCCCTCACAGGTGATAACCCCGTAGTGGATCCCAGATGACTTGTCCCCACAGATTTTGCAAGGGATCACCTCAATTTGTGCTGGAAGAAAGAGAGAGAAGTAGGTCAGCCCAGGAGCCTTCTCTGTGTCCCAGCACCGGGCGCCTGGGCTGCAGGTGTGGGTGCCTGGTGCCTCCCCACATCTCAGCCTGCTCCAGCTTGCTGTTTCAAACCTCTTGCAAAATGGTAGGGGAAGTGAAGTGCCAAAGTCATCTCAGCAAAGTGTCTAAGGAAACTGTTTTTTGTTTCACAGGAGAGGAGGGTTGAGGGGCAGGTGGAAGTTGTATCGGCTCTATAGGGGAAGAGAGAGCAGCTGCAGAAAGCCCACCTGCTTAGCCCTTCAAGTTGAAAAGCTCCAGTTTCCTCCCTCCTGCCTTGGGAGGTAGGAGTCTTGACTGTCTCACCACACCTGCTTCCCGCCCAAGGGGCTTCCTCTATGCCTCCCTCCCCCACCGGGGTTCAGCTCCCATGGACAGAGTGTGGGGCAGGAAGACATGGTACTGGGTGGGAGCCACCTGGGGCTGAGCAGAGATGCCAGGAGGTGAAGGCTGGAGCTGAACACACAGAGACCAGCTGCCCAGGGGCAGAGCTCAGGGAAGCCAGAGACAGAGCCCAGGAGAGGGGGCTGGACAAGGAACCCTGCTCTGCCAGGTGTCTGAGAGTCAGGGAGGAAATCAGACATGGCTCCTAGGCCCCTGACTGCAAAGCAGAGGGAGAGTGGTTCTGTCTCTGTCAGTGTGTAAAAGCAGGCATGGCTACGTGTATGAGGCCATCTACCAACTGTGTGAATACAAATCATGAATGTAAAATGGGTTAAACCCGGTGCAGTGGCTCACACCTGTAGTTCTAGCTACTCAGGAGGCTGAGGCAGGAGGATTACTTGAGCCCAGGAGTTTGAGTCAAGACTGGGCAGACAACAAGACCTCTTTGTCTCTTAAAACAAAACAAACAATAACAACAAAACCCCAAACTAGCTGAGACTAGAGATCATCTCATTCAACCTTTCACTTAATGGATGAAAGACTAGGCCAGAGTAGTAAGGCACTTGGCCCAGGTTTGCACAGCCAGTTCACCTGAGAGCTGGGTCTGATCCTAGTCTCCTGAGCTTTCCATATGCCAGGCTCTGTGCCTGGCTTCAGGGCAGGCACATCAGTGGGCATGTTTGAAAGTGTGCTTGCATGTGTGTATGTGTGAAACACACATGTGATTTGTGAGCCAGCAGATGTGTGTGTGAGAGCTGGTGTCACATGTACATATTGGTAGTCAGCATTTGCTCGTGGGGCACCAGGACCTACAGGTTTTCTCTCCCACTGAGCTCACTGTAACATGTGCCTGTTCCTTCTCCCCCAGAGTTTGCTGCTGGCCCCAGATCATCTCCTCTGCTTTGTTCTGTCCTTGTCAATGCCAGGCTGTCTGCTGCATTTCCAGGGACCACAGGGGGTCTTCTCCCAGCACATCACTGAGAGGCAGCTAGGCAGAGGTGGGTTCCTGCCTACCCCGGCTGTTTGCAGCACCTCCAGGGCACATTATCTTTCCCATTATTATCACTAACCTGCTGCCTGCCCTCTGATGAGGGAGTCCTGGGGTAGAGGAGTCCAAAAAGTGATCTAGGGTTAAAGCTCCTTCTCATCTATGATAAGCCTCTCATCCAAGGGGTAAAGGGGAAGTCATTACTGTGAGCTCCCCTCTGGCCCCAGGCCGGGACCCTGGGCCCGTGCAGGACCTGCTGACATGAGGTGAGAAGGAGACCACAGCTTGCCCATCGTTCTCCAAGATATAATTTCTATTGTCCTTAAACCATCAGGCCAACCTAGAACTGAGTTGGAGTAAGTGGCTGTATGGGGACAGGCTCCTGGGTTCTCACCCTGCCCCAGCTGCACTGGCCTGCAATAGCAGCTTCAGGACCACACAGCTCACAGGCCACGGTAACACAGGATGAGATGGTATGTGAGTTTCTCAAATTCCCTCCAGTAAATTAAGAGAAAATTTTCACAAGTGGAGGGGAAGACAGGGGATTGGATGCCTGGAAGAGAGGTGGGAAACGTGGAGGCTCTCATATTTCTAATCACTTGGGTTCTCTCACTGCCTCAGATCCCCTGTCAGTAAGACCAGGATGGAAACACTATTACCTGTGCCTGGGGTAGCTGTAGGTAGCTCAGGGGTTGCGGGATACCGGCTGAGGAAGGCACACATGTGCTGGGGATACCGGCTGAGGAAGGCACACATGTGCTGGGGATACCGGCTGAGGAAGGCACACATGT